AAGAGAAAGTCAGGAATGGCGTGAGCAGGCTGAGAACACTCAAAGAGAACTGCGAGAACATGAAGAAGCTAATCAAAGAGTAATGAAGGAATTGAGAAAGCAGGATGACTATACAGAAAGATCACTAAAGGCATTCATGGAATCCATAAACAGAGAGCTGAGAGAAGTCAGGGAGACCAAAAAGGGAATGCTGAATGGAGCCCAACAAAAGGAATCTGAGTCCGAGAAAGCATAACCAATCAACTAAATGATTTGAGAATAAACACTGAACACCAAATTAAGAGAGTAGAGACGTTCATACAAGATCTAAAACAAAGCTCCAACAAAGAATTTGAAGCAATCAAAGCCAATCAACTAGAAGGAAAAGAAAGAAAAAAAGTAGGAAGTCTTGATAGAAGGTTAGACCATGCAGAAGATCGAGTTTCAGGAATAGAAGACAGCCTATATATTATAGAGAAAGAAAATACAATGATCAAATACAAATCCAAGAAATACGATAGATCTATTCAACACTTGGAAGACACCATCAGAAGACCTAATCTGAGGATAATGGGTGGAGAGGATCACCTAGAGACAGAAGTTAATGGTCTAGGAAATTTGTTTAACAGGATCCTAGCAGAGAACTTCCCAAACATGCAAAAAGATAGGCCTATTCAGATACAAGAAGCTTTTAGAACTCCAAATAGACCAGACCAGAATAGGACATCCCACCATCACATTATAATCCACAGAGGATCAATTAAGACCAGGAACAGATCCTTAAACCTGTCAAAGAGAAAAAGATCAATCAGGTATAAAGGGAAACCAATTAGAATCACCTCAGATTTCTCAGGAGAGACAATCAAAGCAAGAAGAGCCTGGAATGATGTATGCTATGCCCTAAAGACAGACAACTATCAACCAAGAATTCTGTACCCAGCTAAACTCTCCTTCATAACCAAAGGTCAAATAAAAACCTTCCATAGCAAAGAAAAATTGAAAGAATATATCTCTACCAAACCAGCCCTACAAAAGATTCTTAAAGATGTCCTACACATGGAAAACTAACAAGACCACAATAAAAGCCAAGAAACTGCACCCAAACTGAGAATCCAAGAACCATAAAAACAACCCAGTTGCTGCAGCCCCCAAGAAGGTGGATAAAATGGAAGGATCTCCCAAATACCTCTCAATCCTATCTCTCAACATTAATGGGCTTAGCTCTCCAAATAAGCAAAATAGACTGTCTAGTTGGATTAAAAAGCAAGATCCTTCTATCTGATGCCTGCAGGAGTCACATCTTGCCCATAAAAACAAACACATTTTCAATGTGAAAGGCTGGAAAAAAATATACCAAGCAAACAGCCCCCATAAACAGGCAGGAGTTGCAATCCTAATATCAGATAAAATAGACTTCAAATTAAAATTCATGAAAAAAGATAAAGAAGGTTGCTACATACTAATTAAGGAATCTCTCCTTCTGGAGGATATTACAATTCTAAATATCTATTTGCCAAACAACGGAGCACCAAATTTATCCAAGAAACACCACTTTCCCTCAAATCCCACATAGATCCAAAGACATTAATTGTTGGGGACTTTAACACACCACTTTCCCCACTAGATAGATGGACTCGGCAAAAACTCAACAGAGAAACTGCAGATCTAAACAACTGCATAGATAACTAGATTTAACAGACATCTACCGAATATTTGACCCAGCAGCATCAGAATACACGTTTTACTCACCAGCACATGAAACATTTTCCAAAATATACCACATTTTAGGCCACAAAGCAAACTTGTCCAAATTCAGAAACAATGAAGTTATACATTGCATTCTCTCAGACCCAAGGGAATAAAATTAGAACTCAACATCAAAAGCCACCAAGGAAA